TAGTGAAGTGTTAATTCCTCAAACAATAAACTCATACTAGTGTAACCCTGGGTGGTCTCCAGTGGGAACTTTTTGGGGTAACAGAGGGAACTCAGTGTCTATTAAAATTAAGCCTCTATGAAGCTTTTTATGGTAGGGAATTTATCATCTTGTATTTATTTATAAAGTGTCTTATACCTATATGGATTTATCAAAGTAAGCCATCATTAAAAAAATGGGTTGGATCATCTGGTTCAGAGCAAATGAGTGTTGACACAGTACCAAGCGCTTGCTCGTTTCTAGAACTAAACTCAACATATCTGTGACATGATGATGATAATTAGATTAGGAATGAAAACTGAAATCTTTGGGGGGCAGGAATTGTCTTATTTGTTAGTGGTCCATGAAAGTTTTAGCTTAGTGGGGGCCCAGATGCTTGGCTGGAGATCTTGGTGGGAGCCTGCCTCAGGGAAAGTAGTATAGTGGTATGAAGTTGACTCAATTAATGATAAAGGGCTATGAAAATGCTAAGTGATGTATAAGATGCTGCTGCTACTATTATGATCTTACAGAGAGAAAGCTGCCAAAATATTTGAGGAGAGGCCATGTAGCATTTCCAGGAATCAGAAAGTACCAAAAATCTTGAGAATACTTCCTTTTTTAAAAATTATTATATAAATTGTGCAGATTCCATTATTTCGAAAAAGCTTTAAGGAAGCATCAACTACAGCCTCATTCCCAATGAGTGTAAATCAGCATAGCTTAATTTACTATAGGGCTAGGCTAGTCCTGTTTACATCAGCTGAGGATCTAACCCTGTAATTTTTGTGTTTTGTCTGACTCTTAATGAAACTGTTCACAGCTGTCCTTTCACGGTCATTGGGTTCTTTTTCCAGTCTGTTACCCGTTATGACAGGCAATGCCTCCACTGAATGATCTAGCCTTCACTCCTTTGCCCTATTTATATTTAAAAAAAACCCACCTTGAAATCCCAAATCAAAAGTTCTCCTTTTAATAATGTTTTCTAACATCTCTGTGCAAAAATCCATCCTCTCCAGCATAATACAGACTTTAGCTGGGCAATCCATTTCAGCAAAGGTTTAAATCAAAGGTACATTCTTTTTAACTTGTTCCTATGGAATCCATTTTAACTCCTCTACTGCTGATTCTCAGTGTGAAAGAAGCTATTTGACTGTCCATTTCTTGGAGAGCTTTTAATGTTGTTTTTAGATTTATAAGAGGAGTATTTTACCAATAAGCCTGTTCAACTTCACCACTAGAATGATATTTAATGGACATCCAGTGGTTTCATACTAAGCAGTTTCCTTTCGCTTTTTTCTCCCTAGGGAAGAATACATTGAATGGCTGGAAGTGTTGGTAATCGCATTAGCTGAAACCATTTTAGTGGCTACAACCCCAGGCATATATAGCCCTTACTCATTTTCCTCTTCCTCACTGCTTTTCCAAAAATTAGGGAAACTTCCTGTAGCAAAATAGGTCATAAAACATTATGGACCAATACTTTGCTAATATAAATGGTATGTTTCCATAGATGTCAATAGGGTTTCGCCATTTAAGGCAGCAGAAAAGATGGCCCCATATGGGCAAAATATTCAGAACTGAAAGAGAACAGTGAAGCAAAGAAAAGGAAGGGAAAGTGTGAGAATCTAAGTGCATTTGTAGCATCCTACATTGATGTAGCAAAACTGCATTGAGCTTGGTGAGAGAGATTTTGCAGAAGTATCCCTGTCCACTCTGTTTCCTGCAGATCCCATTGGCCGGGAGCAGCGATTCGTGGCCAATAGGAGCTATGATTGCTAGTAATAGCAGCAGCTTGCTAAGGGCTGACCCTGGCGAACCGCCACTATATTATTGCCTATCCCTGATCAATATCCTTTTGTTTTTGCATGCTTTTTAGGTTATGTGATTTAAATTCAAAACATGCACACGCAACTCGCTATGTTATGCAAAAGGTATCACAGGTTATTCTTATCATATGTATGTTGCTTCTGTTTCTCTACTATCTTGAAGAAAAGAAAAACAAGCTTTTATATATTTGAATCACATCAGACATGACAGGATATTTGATAGATTGTGATGTAAACTTAAAACCCCCGCTTATCTGAACCTAACAATCTTTAATACTGAGCCCAACATACTTAACAAATGTGCAAACATTTCTAATTCACATTTGCCATATTTTAAAATGGTATCCTTCTATAGATATTTCCTGGGCTATCAGCATGTATCATTTTCTCTGTCAAGTTAGTTATTTAATGCCATGTATATATAGTGAGCTATGAGTCTACAGAATTATTTGCATAGATAGTGATTTTACTGCTTCCTGGGAATTAAAGACCAAAAAGTGGTATAATCTGGAATTTTCTGCCTTATTTTTCTTAGCATCCAAAAATGTGAGGTTATGCAATTTCCATAGTGACTATGTTGTCAAAGAAAATAGTGGGAAGTTTTCCCAAAAAAATAGTGTAGCCATATTCTTTTTTTCATGCTGTGTTGAAATGTGTCTTATTATTCTACGGACAATCCTTAAGAAAACAAAACTCTTCTGCATGAGAATGTTTAGATGTAGACTTACTATTCTTCAGTGTATTCCATGTCCTCTGTGATTCTAAGGAAAAGTTTGGAATGGGAAGTTTCTATTCATTTTCCTATTAGCTTAACATTTGTAATCTTCATTTACTTGGAGGAGAGGGGACTCCCTTAGGGTATGTCTACACTACAGCGCTAATTCGAACTAACTTAGTTCAAATTAGTTAATTCGAACTAAGCTAATTCGAACTAACGCATCCAGACTAAAAAACTAGTTCGAATTAGCGTTTTGCTAATTCGAACTAGCATGTCCACA